TTCAATTGACATTAGGTTGTAAATAAGTACATATTTTAAATTTTAAATCTCTGTGCATACTAACTAACTTTATAAGGTATTCATATAAGAATACTAGCCGTTGCCTGCGACTTCGTCAGCGCAGAATTAAAAAAAAACATAATAAGTAACCTATGTGTTTTTCCAGACTATGTTCTATATCTATGCCAAATTTCAGCGATATCCATACAGCCGTTTTTACCTTCAAACAAACATCCACCCATCCATCCAAACATTTGCATTTAAAATATTACTAGCTGTCAATTGCCAAATTTCATCAAAATCCGTTGAGCCTTTCTCGAGATATCTTCAAACAAACATCCATCTATTTATATAAACATTCGCATTTATATTAGTAAGATAATATAATAAATTATATACAAAAACAGACATACCCAGGAGACGAAGTCGTTATTCATAAGAGGCAAATCCAATTTTCTAATAGCGGTATTATATCGGCATCGTATGAAAATGCCACGCCTTTCATATTTCTTTTCTACAGTGCACACTAGCGCCATCAACTTTATTCCCTTTGACGTCATTGTTTATGTTTTGGCGGGCATTTATTTATCTGCAACATTGCCATTTAAGAAAAAAAAAATTTTATTTTTTTATTAGTGGCCTGTAGTATAATGTGTTTAAGACAGATTAGTTTGACAATTCAATTAACAATTCGCTAGAGATGGGTTGAAAAAAATCGTTTATGATTTTTTTCGATTTTCGATGTTTGTTCTGATAGAACTTGCAATCGAAAATTTCGTGTTCATTGATTTTGAATTACAATATAAATAAATTTGTTTCTCTCTATTCCTACTTTATCTTTCATAATTAAATAAAGAAATAAGAAATTCAACCAAAAATTACGATGTTGACGAACAAAAAAGTTTTTTGTTTAAAGTAATTGTACGATACACAGCAAAATAACTGCAATAAGTTCAAAAAGTTAGAAGCTACCTGATTATAGAACCCATTTATTGGATTAATTTTATTTCAAAACCGATTATCGATAGTTCACAGTTATTCGTTGTGAGCGACGGTTCGACACTATGTCAACCGTCTATTAAGTACAACATTAATGCTCATACAATATTAATTGGATATTTTATAGGCGTTAGTTGTCAATAATTGTTCTTAGTTTCATATTGAAATTATTAAAAGAGGTTATGTTTTAAATTGTTCTGTTTGAATAACGAATAAGAATTAATTGTGACATTTGAATTGTTAATTAAAATTGTTTTCTTTTGTGAAAATATGGTGTGAAGACTTACGGATCAACGGTAAGTACAATATTTCTTTAAATTAGCCGATATTTAATTATATTTTTGTCCGACGCCATATTTTTTCGTGATACCGGCTTCAAAGTTAAAATAAGATTACTCTTAAGCACTTCGTCTCTTCGATTACGAGATGAGAAATTATTTATAGCAACTAAAATTGTTTATTTATTTTATTTATTATTGACTAGGTAATTTTAATTGTTTTTACGTCACAAAGTTTGGTGATCGGTCAACCATTGTGCTGTTAAGTACCAACATAACAATATTGCATATGTCCAGTCATTGTAAATTCAAGGAGTTTTTAATGCTCTCTATTTCTTTACGGTGGTCAATATTTTACAAAGGCTTTGTCGGCTGTACCTCCAGCCCCTTGTTAACGTTAATCTTCATATTGAAATATTTTTGTGATGGTTTAAAGGTGTGTTTACACTAAACATTTAGACTAATATTAAAAAATCATAAAAGTACCTTTATTTG